TATATATATATATATATATATATATATAGTGAATATATATATATATATATATATAGAATATATATATATATATATATATATATATATATATATATATATATATATATAATATATATATATATATATATATATATATAGTGAATATATATATATATATATATATATATATATATATATATATATATATATATATATATATATATATATATATATATATATATATATATATATATATAGTGAATATATATATATATATATATATATATATATATATATATATAGTATATATATATATATATATATATAGTGAATATATATATATATATATATATATAGTAATATATATATATATATATATATATATATATATATATATATATATATATATATATATAGTGAATATATATATATATAATATATATATATATATGATATATATATAGTGAATATATATATATAGTGAATATATATATATATATATATATATATATATATATATATATATATATATATTTTATTTGAGTCTGAGGGTTGGGCTTGTTGCACTCAGCTGAGTGAGTCAACATTCAACCATATCTATTTCAAAGCAACAAAAGTCTTTCATAGTAAGGTATTTGCATTCTTGACTTCAGCTCAATCCAAAATCGTTTTAATTCTATACCTCAAAATATTGACCAAAATACATTTCATTGATAATTTTCATAAGAAAGAAAGAAAGAAAAGAGAGAAAGTAAATAAAAAATAAAATATATGTGGCTAATCGGTCTACATAGATCTGAGCCCAATCAACCTGCAGAGATACTTAATAGGCAATGTATTTTTTGCTTTAATTTTATAATTAATCTTTTTAAAATCTCTAATGACTTGTATGCCTTGTTTTTCAAAGAACACATTTCAACTCATTGTTTTCAAATTTCCAATTGAAATAATTTATTCTGTACAGTATAAGGTTTCTTAGGAGAATGCATCTTTTGAGAAAGGGCAAATTAAATTTAGCCCAACTTAAATTCAACAAAAATCAAAAAAAGTGACAGCCTTAGCTCATTGACTGGAGGGTTGGGATGAGGAGTGTGACTGAGGTAGTGTTGAGGAAATATAACAGCAGTAACAATTATAAATGTACAATAAATTAAACTAAATATTCACATAGACATACATAATCGCACTAATGCATAGACATATATACAAACACACACTCTACCACCAGTGACTTGATAACCAGGCTATAAAACAATAAAAATGGAAAGGGGGTAATGAACAGACAAACATATCAAAGATTTTGTCCTCACTCTTTTCTTACATACCAGGAAACATTTTTTAAAGTAAATGTTTATTTTTATTGAATTATTACAATTCATATTAAAATATCAAAATGTTTTTTTTTAATTTCATGCACAGAGATTTTTAAAAATTATATATTTTAGTTAGAATAAAGGAATCATTTTAGTATCTAAGTTATACCAATAGTATATTTTGTTAAAGATTGTAATGAGCCTGAAAAACATTGATGACCAAGAGTCACCACTGAGATAGGTAGGTAGGTAGGTGCGTGCATGCATGCATGCATATTATATATATATATATATATATATGTTGGGATGGATAAATTGTCATCTAAATTATGCAAAAATGAAAACAGCATTGGCATCTCATTTTAACAGATATATTTACCAACATTATACATTAAGTTGGTGAATACTGTCATAATCCTTGCCTTCAGTTCATCTTTGGTGATACAAGGTGTTTTCTTGATCGCTTGCTCAACTGTGCCCTGCACATAATAATCAAGGGGATACAGTCTGGGGAGTTAGGTGGCCAGATGCAAGAGGTGATTTGATTGCAGAAATTGTCTGACAGCTATAACTGGGTTCTCCTTCTTAAATGGCATGGTACAGAGTCCTGTTGCTAGACATAGGGTCTTCCAGCAGCCACTCTCTTGAACCCAGACCAACACTAACTCTTCAAGTGTCTGGGGCCAACAAATTTGGGAGTTCTTTTCTGGTCAGAATGATCAGAGTGAGTTTTCCAAGCTGCTGTACCTTAGTAATCACCATTAGACTCATCCAACTCTTTCTGAATCCTCTGCAATTTCCTCAGATTGATACTCAAACACTGAAATGCTTATATTGGAGCTTCTGGCATGAATACCAAACAATACAGGATATCATTTGCAAATTTCTGGCAGAGTGAATTGCATCATAGTGCTGTTTTTCTCACAGACAGTGCCCAACTGATGCTGCCTTTCTGTGCAGTCAACAATATTAAAATCAAACAATGCACATATATGAATTTAAAAAGGCTTGAGAGGCTCTTGCACCTTTTATTGGCTGAACAATTCGTAAAGAAAAAAAGGAAAGGTGACATGAACCTAAAAAGTGATATGAGTCCAGTTAAGATTACATAAATTTGCCAGTAAAAATATACATGTAATTAAGAAAACAAATTGCTAATGAGCTGTCCAGTTGATTGGGTGGTAAGTCGGTTAATCAACTATGTACCTGTTCTACCTGTTGAAGAAAACTCTAAGAGCATAATTACTTTGCCACAATTTACACTTGCAGATTAATTCCAAGGTTAAGCAATAAATCGGTAGGACAGCCAAGATTTTTATTCTTCATGCCAGATTGATGATATTTGATATAACCTTTCTTTTAATCATTTCACCCCAAGCAAGGCAATAAAGCCACTAAGACACAACCACTTGACACTATCAAAGAGAGAGGACAATAAAAGATTAGGATTTAAGATAAACAATAAAAGAGGAGGAATCAAGAAGACAGTAGATAATTGTTAATTAACAAGTAGATAACAATTGACATTGCATTTAAATTTTTTAAAATCAAAGTTGTCTGGAAAGCAAAAAAGCCACCAAAAAGAGAATTCCATGGGCATGAGATGCAAGAAAAGAAACTGTTAGCAAAGAATATGGTTACATCTACTACTGCTGACTACTGATGCACCCTGGGTGGATTTTAAATTTCCTGTTATGAGAAGAAGATTCTTGGGATAAATTACAGAAGTAGGGTACCCAGGCCTGCTCAGATAACGTTCTTGCTTGCCGCAGGGTTCCCACAGACGTTGAGACAGGAACGACCAGAAGCCGCTGGTTACCGATGCAGACACTCCTTGGATTTTCACCAGAGCCCTTGTTAGCAGGGCGTGTGTGTCAGACCTGTCCGCTTTGGTGACCCTACCAGGAACGAAGTTCCAGGCGGCATAACTCTGACACACCGTTTACACCCCCCACCGACTGTGAGGTAAGGGTTGGACTTTGGGGGCTTACAGTACCAGGTGTTCCCAAGCGGTCCCCCATCTAAGTACTGACCTGGCTCTACGCTGCTTAACTTCGGTGATCGTTCGAGGACCGGTGTTTCAGCGTGATTTGACTGTAAGCCAATATGGTTACATCCTGCCATTTTAACTGTAAAATGATGAGACATTGCTGCCAATTTTGTACTACGCTTAAATTCATAAAGTCTAGGTACCATAGAGGAAAGTTGATCAGAACAATTACCATAAAAGGATTTGTATAAAAGACACAGGAAAGCTATGTTAGGGCAGTGCGAAGGTTACTGAAATGAAAATGTTACCTTGTCAATATTGCTGTTTCTGGTAAGCATAATATCAAAGTCAAAGAAATCAAGAGTCTTTTTTAATCATTTCACCCCAAACAAGGCAATAAAACCACTAAGATGCATGGGGTTAGTGAGTGTGAGAGGATATGAAAAAAAAAAAAAACATCATGAAGGAGAGAGAAAAATAAAAAAAGACAAATCAAGAAGACAGAAGATAACGATTGATATTGCATTTAAATTTTCGAAGATCAAAGTTAACTGGGAAGCAAGAAGTCAAAAAAGATTTCCACAAGCAAGAAATTCAATAGAAGAAATAAAATTTATTAATTCAACTAAACTAACACAGACAAACATACTATTTAATTGCATACAAGACTTCCCTCACCTGTACCCATTATGTAGTTAAACTATTAACAAGCTATCCTGAGTAGGACAATAAACTACATCTGCATCCTGGGTAAAGCAATAAACTATGTCCAAGAGCAAGGCCTCTGATCAGGGAGTTTTGAGGAGCGTGGAACCACCTCTTAATTGCTGGTGTTCCCAGGTTCACCCTGACCGGGGATAGTAGCATCTGTTAGGGTCCCAGCTATGGGCAAATAGTTAAGCCCCAAACTGGGGTCAAAACACTATGAAAGTGCAAAAATAGATTTTAATACCAGAAGTAATTTGTAAAAAAAATTATTACCAGCAACATATTTTTGAAGGAAAAAAAATATTACCAGCAATAAAAATTTTGTCAGCATTAAATAACCCATTGAGGTTGATATACTGTAAACCAAACCAAACAACTAACAAGTCTTTTTTTTTCTTTACAGCTTATCAAACCTTTGCAAATTATTTAAATTCAGAAAGTATTTTTAGATTATAAGAATTTCAGTGGGGGAAGATAATAATGATTTAATGATATAAGTCTTACTAATTTAACCCATAGCTGAAGGGAGGAGAGGTGGATTAATAACTAATCAGAATTTGATAAACAAACAAGAAATCATAACGTGGATATAAAATGGGGGATCAATTTCATATTACAATCAGTATATAAACTGATCCCTCACTCTCAGGTCAAAGTATTTTCTATACATTTATATTCCAGAGAAGGTAAATAAATCTAAAATACATACGTGTGCAGCTAATCAATATTTGATTTATTGATTGCTTCGTTTTCTATGGCTTATCAACACTTCACAGGTTATTTAAAGCCAGAAAATATTTTTAGATTGTAAGAATTTTTCTTTTGTTATGAGATTAAAAAAAATTTAGTGATACAAGTCTTACTAATTAACCCATATTTAGGGTGAAAAGAGGTGGATTCATACCTTTCCCAAGAGTATTTGTGTGTAAGTGAATAAAACAAACCCAACTGGAATTGAAACTGATGAACAATTCTGAGCCATTATCCATTACACCACCCATGCCTCCAGGTTTACAGCACTTGGTATTCCCAAGCTGTTACCCATTTAGGTACTAACCAGGCCCAATGTTGCTTAACTTTAGTGATCATACAAGAACCTGTGTTTCAACATGATATGGCCCATAAGGCACAGTTATTGGTAGGCAGACATTTCACATGCTATAAGCTACTGGCCTCAACACGGTCTACCAGTGTCTATAGGTATACACCAAGAGACAAGATATTTGGAGCTCATAACACAGTACACTGTGGATGTAAAACACATATCTGGATGAAACAATATCATAATGGAGACTTTTTTACATGAGATGTTCTTGCTTTATTTTTTTTTAATCACTATCTCCAGTGGTAGATTGCATACTAATATAAGATTATTTTCTGAGTAGCGGTATTTAATGCTGTTAGATCCAGACAAGACCATACACGTAAATTGTTGTGTGATCATTTCAGCTGCCTATCTCTACTTCTGTTGTCAATTATCATATCTTCCAAGCAAATTTTAGGGAGACCTGATTTATTATGCTTCATGTGACTGTATAGTGTTAACAGTTTACCTCTATGTAAGGATTAGTTATAACAAATTTAATATAGGCAAGAAGGAAAGTGATTATAGTATAGGCCGTGTTGAGTTCAATCTATATGTGAATGACTTCAAAATACTTTCCCTTCCCCAGTTTATAGGCAGAAGCATACAAATGCATGCTGGGATTTTTTCCTACCCAATAAAACAGGTCAGTTCTTAGATCCAGACAAGACCATACACGTAAATTCTTGTGCGATCATTTCAGATGCTTATCTTTCAGTTATTATATCGTCCATGCAAACTTTGGGGAGACCTGAATTAGTGTGGTTCATGTGACTAACACTCTACCTCAGTGTAGAGATCAGTTATAACAAATTTAATATAGGAGAGAAGGAAATTGAATACAGAAGCTGTGTTGATTCCTATCTATAAAAACATGGCACTTCCTGTCCTTTTTTCTCTTTTCCTCCCAGCATGCTGGAATGACAACACTGACCAGGACCTCCTCAAACACAGGGATATCTTTCGCCTTAGTAACTGAATTTTCTCTCACTCTCACACACACAAAATTCCTAAAAATGTCTTCTTTCTTTTGTACATAATTTCATATTTTCTAATTCTTGAAACTTTTACTTTAGTTTTAATTTCAAGCTAATAGATTAAATTTAATATTTCTAATAACCAAGATACATAGCTGTATTTTAAAAACTAATTTAAATGGACTGGAAAGGTTTTTTTTTTTTTTGCTAAAATAGCTGATTAGTGCCCTGTTTTAGTTGTCTTATCACAATGTAATGCTCTTTATTAAAGAATCTTCCGAAAATAAAATACGCTTTTCTGAAACTTTATTTGCAAAATATTAGCTGATTCAAAGTATAGTTAATCTCGTTTGAAACAAATATTATTTACTTCACGTTTAAAATATTGCAAAAATGCATTTTTTAAAACAGTGGTAGCTGCTTATTTAAACTGTTGACATGTTTGACAGCTTCAAGACAGATTAATGTTTTATGGAATTTTTTTGTCTTGGGGGTGATAATTGAATATAACATGAGCGCTTTTTACATAATTTTTAAATACTCAGTAATTTTTAAAATTAGGAAAATATTCCCTGTAATCTAATGTTTTATTGAATTTTAGATATTTTCTGGCTTTAAATTTACTATAGTTATATCCTTCCTTGAGTGTCATGCATGACTGCTTGGTTGATTAAGTCCCTTTTCAATTCATGATTGACATTCAATATTCTACTGGACATAAACTGGGAGATCGGTTTCCTGTTGTCATTAAGTACTAAATTGATCCCCCTCGAATTGCTACTGTTATAGACAAGCGTATGGTTGCAAGAAAGAAATACGACAACAGTAGAAATAGATCTACGTGGTTTATTTCAACAGGAATGTAAGGGTTTAGGACAGCTACCTTGGTGGTAAAGTTCATAAGCGGCTTTTTCGGATCTAGGTTGATCTCTCATAGTAGTTCACACATGTTGATCGTGGTTGACGCCTCCTGCTGACAGCTGCTAAACGTGACCGGTCTCCCTTTGTGGCCACCTGTTGACGATATTCAGTCACCCCCAACCCCACGAGGGTGTCATGTGGCACAAGGCCTTTTTAATGTGGGCATTCCCGAGCCATTAGGCTCAGCCAAAAAATAGCCCATTTGAACCCGTATAAACGGGTTCAGGGCCAGTTTTACCTCCCCAAAGGAGACTCTGCCCTTCGGCGTAGCCTCCTTCGGGTTCCTCCCGCCTGTAGGAAGAGAGTTGAACCGAACAGTCGGTCAGAAAGTGAGTAACTGACTCAACAACTGACTGACTCGTGGCCACCTGTTGACTGCCGCTGAACTTCCCTGTGACCCCTTTTATAGTGTTTTTTTATGACTTAACAGGCTCGAGAAACGAAGCAAGTATAATTAGGAGGGAAGCATTTTTATTGGACGAAAATTTTTCGACCGGAACACATGTGTCGGAAACATTTGTAAATAAAGTTAATGGTCATTTTGCGACGGGGCTTTGTCCCGTTCACATCCGGTTCTCGCTCTTGAGTATTTGCCTGTAAATCAGCCGAGATATGTCATTTTATTTTATAACACTACATATTAATATCCTTCCTTAAGTGCCTTGTGAGATACACACTTGGGTGATCATGTCTGTTTTCGATTCATGATTACCTTGGCAGAAGAATATCCCACAGTAGGTTTCCATTACTTTCTGCAGTAGACTGGTTGCCAAGCAAGGATCTCTAGTCTCTTCTTCTGCTATTTGACCTATAGCTGGAGTAGAAGAGATGGATTCATACCGTTCCCTAGGATATTTGCATGTAAGTGAAGGTAACAAACTCTACTGGAATAATTCCAACTCGGCTCACCAGTTTCTCATTCCAAACAGACCACAACATATATCCTACTTAGTGACTTAGTATCTTCAAAAAGTTCTTTTTTGCTTGTTTACTGTGCCAGAGACGTATAAAACAGAATTTTACCACTTATAAATATTTTTTTTGTTTTATTGTGGATCGCAAAAGGCAGGCAAGTATTTATTTGCTTTAAAAATATTTTCCATAAAGAGGACATCTTAGACACGTCGGTTTTAAAATAATAAGATTAAAAATATATATCTATTAATCTCCTTAAAAATTCGCATTTGTTTTCCTGTCATTTTTCTCGTTTGTTATTTCATGTCCTTAATCTCGAGATTCTGTCAAACAAAGAAAAAATTCATTTAAAACTATTTTTTTTCGTCTGAGACAAGCGGATCAACATTAGTAAAAACGGAGTTGTTTCCCTTGAACTGGTTAAATTGAATCGAGCTGAGGCAAAAGAATTATTAAAAAACTAGTAAAAACAATAAAAAATCAATCATCTTGACATTGCTTCACTTAAAAAAAAAAAAAAAAAAAACGGACAAAAAATAAACATTAACATTTATATGTATGAAATATTCAATACGGTTATCTCAAAGTGATACAATTCCATGTGATATTAAATAATGAAATGTTTGATAATCTATATGGATAATCTCAAGTAAGATGTAATCCAGAGAGCTCAATGTATAACCAGAGTGAATATTAGTTCAATTAAAAAAAAGACAACCTTAAGGGTCCATTGACTATATTTTATTTCCCCAGCAAAGTGATTTTCTCCTGGTTTCTCAGATCACATTTCCAAGCAGAAAAGAAAATGGTTTAAAATTTACATATTATTTTAATACAAGCTTTTGAGGGGGTAGTGTTGAGTTGGTGTAAAGTGATAGAGAGAGGAAGAGGAGGACAATGACAGATATAGTTGAAATTAGAGAAGGAAGAGAGAGATAGGAATAATTTTAATATTATATATATATATATATATATATATATATATATATATTCCTACAAAAATGTAAATACATGTACACAGATAAATGTACAATCATACACATCTAATCATTAAAAGTATTTGGGTAACAAGAACAATGATACCTTCCTTGATGAATTTCAACTTATCAAGAAGATAATTATAGAACTATAAAAGATTATTGTAAAAATAAATTGACATAATATGTCTATATTATTCAAGTAAACATGCTTGAATGAAGATATGCTGCCTATATATATAATTATTTTCTGTTTTAAAAATATGGTTCCATCACTACACAGGAATTACCAGGTTTCAAAACAGAAACTAAAATTTAAAATTTAATTATAAAATTAAATTTAAAATCCATAGATTCGTTCCATTCTCAAGTGATTTTTGGATTCCATCTCAGAAATATAGACAGATACTGAAGGATTGGTATGGATGGTTAGTTTAGTAGAAATTTTTTTGATCTTTTAACTCTTTATTAGATGTGCAATTCTCCCAAATTATTATTTCAGAAGACATTATGCAATCTTTAACAGTTGTGCCTGCAAAAAAAAAAAAAAAAAAATTATGTATCAAAGGTTTTTTCCTTGACACCACTATTATTTTAACTACCTTCACTCCTCGGCAATGTTTATTGTTTTTGATGTAATAGAATAACCTGTCACCCCCATGAGTGACTACACTATAGGTAGTAACTACCTATAAGTATCTGTAAGGCAATGGACTACAGGAGACTTGCTGGGATTTGTTGAGTATAACTCAGATTTACACGAGAACTACTGACCTTCCTATAGCAGCACTCACTACTGGATTGACTTGCAATGACTGTGCACATAACTGTACCTTATTTCTTGTTGTACTGGTTATTACAATAAACCTTTACTTATTCATCCACAGTGTTTGTCAAGTATATATTCCTATTAGTACAGAATATAACAGTTTTAAAAAGCGATGATTAAAACTGTATTAAAACCTAAACATATGATAAAAGCAAATTTACACATTTGTTCTTGAGAATTTAAAACAAAAATATTAAATATTATTTATAAGATTGTTTATTTGCAAGGATAATTTTATATTAAAAGAGTATCGCAACATTTTATGGCACAGTTGTAAGTTCAAAAATACTCTGGTTACTTAGATTTTTATACTCAGGGTCGCCTGTATTGAAACAGGCATTTATTTGTGTGACAATTTAAATATTTGTTCTTTGTATGAAAACCATGTGGAAATTAACTAGAACAAATTGAACTGAT